TCAAGAAGAAGAAGAAGAAGAAGAAGAAGAAGAAGAAGAAGAAGAAGAAGAAGAAGAAGAAGAAGAAGAAGAAGAAGAAGAAGAAGAAGAAGAAGACAAACCGACACACAAGTGGGTAGACATTCAGGCTGTAAGATGAAAAGACGTGCACAGAAGATGAATGAGAGGCATATCAGACAAACTATCAGACTGGCAGACTATCTGACAGACTGTCAAACAGACAGACAGATTCCTGTATCCATAGACTCACTGCCCTTCCGGGGTATCTCCTCGCCTCAGTACGTTCCATATTGCTGTAGGACCTTAGGCGCAGCACTTTGATGTGATTGGCTTTCTAGAAAGTTCATTTCCCAAAATGGGAGAGTTGTTGTCACCCTGCAGTTTACAGCCTGGAGCCCATGCACACGTGACAGAGATGGTGGTGAATATGTTTGTACAGTTTGGTAAAAGAAAAAAAGAGTAGGGGGGGGGGGTGAAGAGTGTTCTTTGAGTTGGGTCTTGTCATGCGGGTTATATAATCGTTCTGACACACAGTTTTCACGCACTATTATGACACAAACGTTCTGACAGACCATTATATGACACACACGTTCTGACACACCATTATGGCACACACGTTCTGACACACCATTATGACACACACGTTCTGACACACCATTATGACACACACGTTCTGACACACCATTATGACACACACGTTCTGTCACACCATTATGACACAAACATTCTAACACACCATTATGACGCAAACATTCTGAGACACCATTATGACACAAAAATTCTAACACACCATTATGACGCAAACATTCTGAGACACCATTATGACACATACGTTCTGACAGACCATTATGACACACACGTTCTGACGCACCATTATGACACACACGTTCTGACACACCATTATGACACACTATTATGACACAAACATTCTGACACAACCATTCTGACACACCGTTTTGACACAAACGTGAAGCGCCCTGCGTCGTTGAAAGAGATGCACCTGAATGGTTCAGATCACTGACACGTTAGATATCTGCCACCTCGTAAGTTCTCAAACGGTTAGGGTTGTTTTTTTTAAAGTTTTGTTCTTCTTTTCCTTCATTGTCCCCGATTCCTTGGTGGATCTTCATGGATACACCCGAAATTCTTGTGTGTGTGTGGGGGGGGGGGTGCGGGTGCTCAGGTGTGGTATGCTTCTCCTTTCCTACCAAACATCTATCCTCCTTATCTCTCCTCCTCTTTTTCCTTTACATGTTTCTCGTTAGAAACAAACCTGTGATTTGATTTTCGGCGTTATTATCTTATTAAACTTACATTGTGTTGTAAGTGCCGTAAAACTGTTACCAAAAAAATTAAAACTAAAACGATTCCTGGATGCACTTTCACGGAAAGACGCCAAATTCTTGTAGGAAGGTCAAGGAGAAGAAGGCCCTGCCCTTTCCTGTTCCCAAGATGCACTCGTGATGTCTGCAGTTACCGCCCTTCCCACCCGCAGTTGCCGCCCGTGAGACGCTCGAGAGGGAAAATGTCGGAATGTCTAGTTGTCCAAGTTGAACGTCGCAGATTTTTACCTATTTTATTATTGCAACCTTAGACGATTGTTTACACACTGGGTCAAATACAAACCTGTGTAAGCTTTTGGGGGGTTCTCCTTGCCTTTAAAGAATTCTGTGGAGTACACAGAGCTGGAAGTGGCTGACAGAGTGCGCAGTCGTGAGGAACGTTTACGACTTTGGATATGTGAGAGGATTAGTATATTATTATTATGGCAGACTGCCCTGGCGTGCGCTGTGGGTATCAGGAAGAGTTGCTGTGTGGATGACTACAGTTCGAATATCCAACTGTCAGACGGGCTGATAGGCAGACAGACAAGCACACAGACATGTAGACATGCCGATAGACAATCTGACAGTCAGATTGGTTGACCGCCGACCTGAAAACAAGTAAGCAAGCAGACAAGCAAGCAAGCAAGCACAAGCAAGCACAAGCAAGCACAAGCAAGCACAAGCAAGCAGGCAAGAAGACATTCGCTCTGTCGGGTCCACAGCTCCGAGGCACGGTGTTGGGGCGCCCGGCTGCACGTGCTAGAGGAGAGTGTGACACCAAAGTCGTGGGAGAGGAGAGATGGGAATGTCTGGGATGAAAAAAAGTGGAAGGGAATGTAAAGAGGTGTTGGAAATCTTGTTTCTTTTGTTTTGGTTTGGTTTAGTTCGGTTTGGTTGCGTTTTTATTTGGAAGATGAGCTGGTACCAACAATTCCCGGAATCCTGTGTTGTCCGAAGACAGGAAGGAAACGAAAGATGGGAATGTAGTGCATGGGCGGTTGGCGGGTGCTCTGGCGTGGTTTGTTTCTTTTTTCCTATCAAACACCTATCGTCCTTATCTCATCTTTTTCTATTTCATCTTTGTTACTCTCTTGTAACACCTCTAATCTTCTGGCGCTCATATGAGCTTATGCAGTTGCGAGCTCCGTAAAACCCTCTACTAAAACTACTAAACTAAAACTAAAGAAGTGTAGTGGTTGTGTCTGGAAGTTGGAGGGAGTTGTACCTAGGAGTATGATGAGCCGTC